TATCAACTACTAATAAGCTTAATGAAACATAAAAGCAATTTATAAAGAATATTAAAAAATTGCATTATAGAATACAAAGATATTGAAAGCTATAGAATATTATAACAAAAGTTAGTAATAAAATAGATAAGTAGTCTATTAGTAAGATTAAATCAACAAGACAATCTTTTTTTTTTTTTTTTTTTTTTTAAGCAGTCATGCTAGTGCTTTATTAAGATTTTGAAATTATATTTGTAATTACATAAATATTCTTAACGACTAAGCTCAGCATCACCTGGCCACCCTAATGGTACCTAAGTGTAACCTGCTGCATTACTTCATGCAGAAGTAAACTGCTTATTCAACTACTTAAAGTCTATAATGAAAGGGTCTTCTCCCCTTCATGATGAGCTCTAAAATTGTTTTTTATAGTTTTTTTCTGATTTGTTTTTCTTTTTCTTTTGCTTTCTGTTTTTTTTCTTCTATGGCTTGCTAATTTGGTTTTTCTTTCTTCCTTAATGCTTTCTTCTCTTTTCTTTTTTTTTTTTTATCCTATCTGTTATTCCTTCATTTTTCTCCTATTTATTAATCTTCTCGCATTGGATTCTCCATGCTTGTTTATAGAATATATCTTAGGCCATTTTTGCTACTATATTCATAAATTGCTGTTTTGATTTTGTACTTAGAAGCTGTCTCAATCTGTCTTGTATTTCTCTTAGAATAAGACCTTTAATTAGTGCCTCTCTTATTTTAATTTCCCTTGCTTTTGTTTCCTCAAAGAGTGCTACATATAATATATATGACAGAACTTGAATTTTTTTTCTTCTTTTAACCCCTTTCAGGCTGTTGTGATGGTTACTTTTTGGATTCTTTTTCACAGATTCCTTTGTTCCTTATATGCTGCCAAGTGTGTCTGTATTTCTTTTGTTTTATTTTGGCACATTTGGCACTCTGTCATTGTATAGATGTCTGGTCTTCCTTTGTTAAGTTCTTCTAGGATTGAAAGTTTATCCATTATGCACTTTATAAATGCACTTCTCCTGGCATTGCTTCTTTTTGTTGTACAGTATACTCCTTTAGATATCTTCAGTCTATTTCAAAAATATGTCTAATTGTAAATTGTAACTTCTCTTTCTGGTTCTAATTCTCTAATTGCTTTCATTTTTTTCCATTTAGCTTCTATTTTTGCATTCATTATTAATTTACAAAGCAGTCTTGCTGGTATGTTAGTATGTTTGTTTTTTTACTTTATAAACAAGACAGTCTTGGTTAGTTAACAATATTAAGAATAACATAAGATTATCAGAAAATAAGAATTAAAATCATCTAAAATTTTACTTAATTGTTTAATTGTTTAACTGTTTAAATGTTTAACCATTTAATTTAATAATATTAAAATAATTTTGACTTATAATCAACATGATTCTGTCTAGAACCATAAAGTAATTTTTAAACAATTAAACAGTTTAATTCCTATCAGAAAGCAGGTCTAACAGAAAACATATTGAATATAGAAGAGATATTAGAAAATATAAAAGATTAAAAAAGTAATTTAGCTTGTCTAATATTACTAAAAGTAAAAAAGCTTAATATAAATATAAGAACAAAAAGTAATCTATAAACAATGTTTGAATATGAAAACAAAGTAAAGAGTTTATAAATACTTAGTTATAAAAAAGTAGTAGGACTAAATAAATAAAGTAGGTATAATATGTCTAAACCAGCTGCTAGATACAAAAAAAGAAAAATTAATTACATAATAACAGCTAAAAAGTTATCAAAACCTATTGAGCAAGAGAAAAAAAGCAGATTGGTTCAAGACAGTAGAGCTAGAAATACTCAGTAGACCAGACAGCATAGAGGTCAAAAAACATTATAAAACAAACAATAAAACACTTAAGCAATATAAATAAGAAGTATGGGTTAAATAAAATTAATAAGAGATAGCATGAGTTAAACAAATTACAAATTACTATACCAAAGATTGCTTGGCATAAAAGTGCAAAGAGAATTTTAATAGATATAAAAAGGCCAAAGAAATGCCTTTCTTTAACATTAATTTTCTTTACACTTTTGAACTAAACCTCTAATAATCTTAACAACAATGAACTCAGCACAGAACCTACTAACATGAGTTACTCTGCAAATTTACTACAAAGCCCTTGAATTACAGAACTTCTGTAAACAGATTCAATACTTAGATACTATTATATATGAAGCTAATAGTACTACTCTTATTCTTAATATGAAAACCTCATACATGTTACCAACAACCTATAATGATAATCTGTTGACCAAAATAAAAATAGATTTACTAAACACAATACCAAGCCAGATTTTTCCAGTTACTACATCAATGACTATCAATATGTTATAGAAAAATTATTATATCAAAATTACCAAATAGTACTAGTTGATTGCATGTTTAGCTAATTATAACTAGATATATTGCTTAGCTTATAGCTATTACTTAGAAATTCTATTATTAGAAAAACTAGATCATGACAAGTCCATAAAGGCAAGTAGAATTAAGGCCTAGACTAGAACTTATTGATTATTTAAAGCTATTAGTTATGAACAAATATATCAAACAAAGAAACTAATTCTAAAACATATCAGTGATATGAGTAAAGCCAAGTTTAATCAATTAGTTGACTTTTGTAAATAGTACAAAAGTTAAGCAAATTTTGTAGAACAAAATTCTTAAGGGGAGGAAAATGTTATAAAGTAGATTTTAGCATAGTATATTATATAGTAGTATTAGTAATTATATATATATTCATTATTGTATTTTATATTATATTTATTATTAGTCATTAGTTAGTTAGTAGTTATATTATATAGTAGATAGATAAAAGGATCTTAATTGGCTATTAGAAATGTGATACAGTCACATAACACTGAGTAACATCTGTGATGTTACTATTATTTTACAAACCCCAAGTACCTCTGTACAAGTTTCATGTATCCTAGCACCAAATTACTGTGCCAAGTGCTGCAACACAAGAATCCCAAGTATTTTCATGAACTTCAAGTGTCTCTGCATAAACTCCAAGTATTCCTACACAAATTTCAAGTGCCTTTACACAGATCCAAGTGTCTAAACACAAGCCCCAAGTGTTTCAAACATGAATGACAAATAAAATAAACAATATCCTAAGTTGCCTCTATATAGTTTCCACTACCCCAAGCATAATATTATTTAATATTGTTCAAACCTCTATCATTCCAAATACAATAATATCTAATGTTGTTCGAACTCCCATTATTCTAAGTACAGTATCAAGTAATGTTGCTCAAATCTCCATTATCTCTGCTAGGTAGAAAGATATATAAAGCGTAGCTTTTACTTTTCTCTACCAAGTCTAAGTTTTTATACTTCAATTTAGACTCTTCTATCTTTATTTCTAACTTGTAAAAGTGATATTTCCCCTCTAGAGTAATTTCTACAAACAAGGTTATTATTGTGTGTTTATTTAATAAAAGTTAATCTATATACTGTTACTATCTCAAACTGTTTACCTGCTGCTGTGTAATAAAGTGAACTACTACACCTTTACCTCGTATATATTTGCAATAGTCAATCACTATACTGGATAACCTTGTTACTTGGTTGTATTGTACTAAGAAGGCTACAACTCTGTAACAGTATTTGATATATTTTAGTTCCAAATGAAACTTAGGATAATAAAAAATTTTGTGCCTCTAATTAAAAATAACTTCTTCAAGAATATTCTTTTGTTCAATAAAATTAGGCTATTTGGCTAATTTTTTCATATTGCTGCATATTTTTTCCTCATTCATTGACCATTTAACACATTTTTCTTTTAATTTTTTATCTTGTATTTCTCTTTCTGTTATTACTTCTGTGATTTCTTTTGATTGTTCTCTTTTTTTTTTGGTTTGATAATTTAAAAAAAAAACCATCTCTTGAAGTGTGCTATCAGAAAATCAATCCGAGCATATTTTAGGTTGTTTACTTCCAAATTCAATATTCATTTAGCTTGCTATCAATGTATCTTTAGCAAAGGCTTTGTGGCTGAAACTGTTGTCAAATCCAAAAACAAACATTGTATCTAAAAGTGCAATTTCTAAAATATTAATTGCTAATTCAAGTTGCTTAGCTAGCAATTAAACATTTCAATAGCTTTTATAATTTGCACTAATTTCCAACAGCTCTGTAATGTAATGTTTTGAGATTTCAGAATGGGTTGCATGTTGCTTTTTAGTTAAATATACTTGACCTAGCAGTTTACACAAAAATTCACTAATATAAATGCACTGACTCCATCCTTTTAGATGTATTTTGTATTCATCTATTAATAATTAAAAGTAAAATATTTAGCTTTAATAAAAAATATATTGTAATTTCATTAAGCAAAAGTTGGTCTAAGAATAACAAACAACTTTTAGACTTCTATCTTGTTTTTTCATTATTATTTGCAGCTAATATAGTCTCATCATGTGTTATTACACAATGCTGCTTTTTTTCAGAAGAAATATTCTTTTCTACTAGTTTAGTGAAATCTTTGTTATTATATTTAATAAGAACAGATTCCAATTCCTTCATTATTGACAAAAAAACTGTTTGTCTATATCATATTATATCCTTTTACTTATGTTCATCAATATATATATATTTTTTCTACTCTTTACACTTCTATTCTAATTTTTTAAGCCATTCTCATGCTATTTTTTATATATTGTTGTCTTTTTTTTTATGCTTAAAGACGGAAACATCTCATTCTCTATATATTTTTTTAGAACTTTAGAATTCACACTAAACTTATGACTTCTTATATATGACATCATCTACTTAAAATATAATTTTGTGAGTTGCAAAAAATTAAGGCATTATGTACAAAATTATTATAAAAAAAAATACATAACTTCATAGAAATTTTCTCATCATCAATAAGGCTTGATATCTTTGTAAATTTATCATGATTATCTTTTAAAAGTTTTTATTATTTTATCCAATTTTGTGCCTATGCACCAATACATCATGCTTTATAATCTTCTCATTCTAATAAACTAGCAATTGTCATGCTTGTGTTTATTCTATTCTGATCATAATAGTATCTTAATTGTAAATATTGCAATAATGCTTGCAAATGAACCTTTATATCTTTATCCATTTGATTGTTATCCTTTTTTAACATTTCATCTAATTTCTCAATTGCTAGTCTTACTTTTGTTTTCTTATCAATTTCACTGATATAGCTGCTAATTTCACCTTTGTTAACTCTAATTCTGCTGATTCTACATTTATTAATTCCATCTCTATTTATCCTAATTCTGCTGATTCTATATCTATTGATTTTATCTCTATTAATTCCATTTTCATTGGCTCTGCTTCTATTGGTTCCACTTCTATTTGTTCAATTTTCATTGATGCCATTAATGATTTACAAGTGGACATTGAAGCAGAGGCAACATTAGAATACATCAAAGTAGAGGCAAAGTAAATAGTAATAGATTAGGTATTTTTTGCAACCTTCTTTTATTCTGCCTTTTTTTGTCTTAAAGTTCTTTTAGAACCTCTAACATAAGTTGAAGGTCTATTCAAAAGTTCCTAGACATCCTTATTTTTACCAGCTGTTAATAATATAGCAAAATAATTAGAAGCTTTCTCATCAATCTTCTTACCTGACCAAATATAGTCACTCTGATTTTCATAATCTAACTTTTTTGTGACATAAGCATGCTTCTTGGCTCTAGCAGCTTTAAGTTGCTACTTTCTTTTGCTTAGATAGGTAATGTTAATAGTAATAAAATAATTGAATTAAGTAAAAATCTAATTGTACCAATCAAGATTTTATGACTAGAATTGAGATATAGATTGTTTAATTACTAGATTCAATACTCTTAATTATTATTATTATTGCTTTTTTTTTTTTAATTGCTTTTTTTTTTTTTCTTTATTTATTACTTTTTTTTTTATTTAATTTTTTAATCACTTTTTTTTTTTTATTTTTTAATTGCTTTTATTTATTTAGTTTTTTTTTTTTTAATTATTGTTTTTAGAAAGACTGAAAAGCTGAATTCAATCTGTTTAGCCAATGATATATTTAAAAAAAAATATATAAAGATTTATCAGTAGGTTAATTTCTTTATCCACTTCTTTACTCTTTAACTTCATAATATGATTTTATTAATCTTTTAAAATTGGATCAAAAATTTTAAGATTAGAAAATTATCATATTATCACTACTGCTACATTATTTATCATGAGAGTTGGCATAATTGTGTAATTTTTTGCTCATATTACATAGTGTGTAAAATTTTTTTTATTTGTAATTACAGTGACAACAATCAATCATACATTAGATTGTGACTAATTTTCCAATTAAAGTTAAGTTCAGAAATTTCAAAAAATGTATGTTTATCTTTTGTATTCAATAATTTTCTGTTCAAAAATATTTAGACCTCAATCTAAATTGGCCACTTAGGTCATGTGACATTAGTTCTAGGCTACATATACTATAAAAAAACATTTGTTTATTTATTAATAAGTAGAAGTTTGGTGTGGGTCCTATAGCTTAGTGGTTAAGCTCCTATACCCTCCACAGTCAAGGTCAACGGTTCAAGTCTAGCTGGAGGCAAAATTGAAAGATTTTAGCTTCTGTAACCTAATAAGGAGCCTGTAATTGAATGTGAAGCTCTGTAGTTAAGTCCAAGTGCAGTACAATGATGAAAATAGAAATTTCTAGAAAGAGACCCAATCGTGGAGTGCAGGCACTATGTGTAACAAGCAGTTGTTACAGAAGGTTACGGTTATGAAAAGATTGCACATGTAAGACCTTTAGGCTAAAGAGTAGTACATCTTTTATCAGTAGCTTTGTTAATTTGTTGTCGAAGTAAGAGAGAGTTTTCAAGGTGACGAGCAT